ATTAAATATTGAAATCCTATTTTTTCTATCTTAATTTTCTTAATAATTTGAAGAGAAATATATAAATAATTTTTTCTTTGTTTTTTCTATCACAGGTGGATATAGAAATAAATGGAGAACCTAGACAAATCCATATGAAGTTAGGAGATTCTGGAGAAGCCTTTTTTGTTGAAGAAGTTAGTTCTCATGGTTCTCCGACTGATACTGAAATTCCACCTCATTTAGCTTGTTCCCCTATACCTGAAGATAATTGTTTTCCATCATCTAGATTTAATATTCTTTCTGATCTTCCTTCAGAACAGAGAGATAAACTTCTCATAGAATCTATTTTGTGTATTGAGAGAGAAAAATGGGAACAAATGTCAGCTTTGCCTCCTGATGAAAGAGAAAAATTTTTAAATGAACAATTCTCTGATGTTCCATCAGAACATCGTGCAAAATGGCTTCAAATTGCTTCTTTAACACCAGAAGAAAGAGAAGTGCAAAGACAACAATTAATTCGCGAACAATATTCTGCTTTAAAAACTGAAGATAAAGAAAGATTATTTAAAGAAAATTTTCCTGAACTTCCTATAGATCAAAGACAAAAATTTGAAAAAGTATTACTAAGTGATTGGAAGGAAAAAAAAAATGAAAAACGAAATTCCTTAAAAGGCGAAGAAGAAATTTTTGATATGGATGGTATTAATGATGATGAATCATGTCCAACTGCATCAACTCCTAAATCTTTTGTAGCTGTAACTTCGTCTGAAAGAATTCGAAAAATTAGTGTAGTAAAAAATGATTTTAGACCGATTACAGAAGATATGCAAAGTAGCGGTAGAGAAAAATCGAGTGATGAATCGAACGCATCGATGAGTAAAAAAAATTCAAAGGACGAAAGTGTCGAAGAGAATAAAAATAATAGTAATTCAACCAAAAGGAAACGAAAGAGGAAAAGCATTTTGAGAAAAAAAGGATCTCAGAGAAAGAGTAGCAATGGTAGTAGTAGCCAGACAGAGATTAGTGAGAACGATGCATCTATCCCAGATGAATCCTTTGGCGAATCTGTAAGTTGTTGCATTTAAAATAAAATATTTGATCATGGATTTAATATTACTTATTGATATGTATATTGATTAAAGATGGTAAAAGATTCTACTGCTGAATTAGAAAACAAGAATGAATCAGTTATTTCGACTCAAGAAACAACAGATAAACGTCCTGAAACAGACTTTCATTTCTTCAGTGACACTGAAGTTACAAAGTAAGTTTGTTATGTGTATATATATATATATAAAAATTTTATGTATATAATTCTATAAATAGTATTTTATATGTGAATATATATAAGAATTAAATATAATTAAATTATAATAAAATTACATATAATATTATAGAAATGAAAAGTGTATACATAATGCTTTTTTATACATAAAATTAATATTTTTATGTTTTATTGTCATCATCATATTTAATAGGAATCAGGATTCTAGGCCATGTTCACCTGTTCAATCTGACACAGAATTTGAAATGCGTAAAATAACACAAGAAGGTACTGAACGAGAGGATGATAAAAGTCATCAACAGAGCTGGAGATGGGGTGAACTGCCTAGTTTGCCTCCAGATTCAACACATACACCTCACAGAAATTCATTGAATTCATCAAAAGCTGTTAATCAACCAAACAGTAGTTAGTATTATCAAAAAAATAATAATGATATGAACAAAAAGTTAAAAATCATAAAGAAACGTAAAATATATATTTCGCTTTATTAAAATCTTATTAAAAAAAATTTATATCTTTTGTTTATTTATTAAATTAATTGATCTTATATTATTTTTGAACATATCAATATAATTTTATATACTTTAGATTAACATATACAACTATGTTTTAATATTAGTGGAAGCACATCGATCTATGCTTAGTGGTATGTTGTCCTTTATGCGAAAAACTTCTCGTGTAAGACGTAATCCTGAATTAGAAGGAATTTATCTTAGTGATCTTAACGCTGACGAGTTAGATCCGGAAGTTGCAGCTCTCTATTTTCCTTCTTCTCATAGAGGTCAATCAACAAATAAAGGTAATCCAATTATATAAATTATATTGTATTATATAAATTATATAAATTATATTGTAACAATTATTAAATATTAAAACAATTTGTTTTAATTATAATATTTTAATAGATAATATTTTAATATAATATTTTTATAGATGGAAAAGGAATAGATGAGGAAGATACTGAATCAGGTAATGGACCAAGTTTACCACAAAGTCCTAATAGCGTTGAAGGAGCAATTGGTGGACCAAAATCATTAGACAGTGATTTTGAAGAACCAAAACATTCTATATTTGACAGTAATATGAATATTAGTATATCCTTATGCGGTGGTTTAGATTCTGAAACTGGTCCTTCCAAAGAAATTTTTCATCAAAATTTACTTCATTTTGAAGATATTTGTTCGGATCCGAAATTATATGAAAATCCAAATTTAGTTGTAAAAATTAATGAAAAATTCTATAATTGGACAACTGCTTGTTCAATTATAATGACTTATGCTATATTTCAAAGACATTTACCACAAAATACAATCGAAAATTTATATACACAATGTATGCCATTACCAATGCATGAACAAAAAAAACAAGAAAATACTGGCAAACCAGAAGGCCGTAGTGGTTACAGTTCATGGTTTTCATGGAGACGGTCTACACAACCGCCTAAAAAATCTCAAGAACTTAATCAAAGTAAAATAATTTTATAATTTTAAATTTTATTCATTTTTTAATATCTTAATAATATTTTAATAATAATATCTTTATTATTATTTATTATTATTATTGTTTTATAGCTGATGGAACTGTTATTCAATCTTCAGAACAAATAGTAGAAATGAAAGAAAATACTCAAATTGATGAAATTTCAAATAGAGAATTAAAAATTGATCAGAATATAGAGTGTATAACGGAAACAGTAGAACAATGTACGAAATTAACAAAAGATATCGCCAAAACTGAAAAAAATAGCGAAAGGGAAGGTGAAGGTTATAGCGGTAGTGAAGATTCTGATAGTAATCAAAATGAATCACAAGGAGTTAAAATACCTAAAGAAAGAAGATCATATTATGAATCTACTGAAAAATATCGAAAAACTTTGAGATTATCATCTATACAAATAGTATGTAAAAACAATTCATAAAATTATAAAATAGATAAAATTTTAGATTATTTTTAATTATATTTAATTATATATTTTTATATCTTTAATTATAATTAATATTTTTATAGTATGTATAATCATATTTTTTTTTGAATTTATTATTTTGTTATAGGCTAGTCTCAATTTAAAAGACGGAGCTAATGAAGTAGTTTTTAGCGTAACTACAGCATATCAAGGCACTACACGTTGTAAATGTCATATTTACAAGTGGAAATGGGATGATAAAATTGTTATTTCTGATATAGATGGAACCATTACAAAATCTGATGTGCTAGGTCATATTTTGCCAATAGTTGGTAAAGATTGGGCTCAATCTGGTGTTGCTCAATTATTTACAAAAATTAAAAACAATGGTTATAAATTATTATATCTTTCTGCAAGAGCGATTGGACAAGCTAAAGTTACAAGAGAATATTTAAAGAGTATTAGACAAGGAGATTTGTCACTCCCTGATGGACCATTACTTTTAAATCCAACAAGTCTAATTTCAGCATTCCACCGTGAAGTTATAGAGAGAAAACCCGAAGAATTCAAGATATCATGTCTTAGTGACATTCAAGCTTTATTTCCAGAAGGTTCAAAACCTTTCTATGCTGGTTACGGAAACCGAATTAATGTAAATATTTTAATTTATAATAATTTTTTTCAAGAAATACGAGAAATATAATATAATAGTTTTTTCAAGAAATATCTTACTAAATATTTATTTTCTTTTTTTCGTAGGATGTTTGGGCATATCGAGCTGTAGGAATTCCAACTATGCGTATATTTACTATAAATCATAGAGGCGAATTGAAACATGAACTAACGCAAACATTCCAATCTTCGTAAGTAATTATTTATCATTATATATATATTTTCCATTTTTACTAATTTCTTTTCTCTTAGATAAACAAACATATAAATGTAATAATAAATTTAGCAATTTTATTTAATTTTTTTAGCGCATAGATATTTAGTTTATATTTTCATATAAACCTATTTAAAATCTATTTTACATATTATACAATAATTTTAATATTTTATTCTGAAAAAAAAAATACATATTCACATTTCTGCTACAACACTAAAATTATTAGTCTTTGTTAAAAATCTTAAATCATTATAGATGTTAGCACATAGGTATTTATATGTTTTTTTTTTAATTTCTTTTAAAAATTGTACATGTGAATGTTTTTTCTAAATGAATGAAAATTAATTTATTAAGCAGAATGATTTATGATTTTGATGTAAAAAAAATTCGAAATTTATATTTTATCCAATTAATTAGGAAAGAGCAAATTTGCAGAAAAAGGAAAATTGATTATTGAGAAAAAGATATTTATAGGTCGGATATTTCTATGATTGCAGTTACGCATGTCAGTGCGATATCGTCAATGAGTTGTTCCCGCCACTGCCCATGTGAATCATCTACTGATGGCGGCACAACCATAGCTGTTTTATTCTATTCGTCCAATTGATAATGCTTAAATTAATAATCTTTATAAACAATATATTTATGCCATTGGACCTCTTTTTATTTGATATGTACAAATTTACTACCTCATAACAGGATTATTATTTTATGCACTATATTATTCTATAAATTTAATAATATTTACAATTTTTAATATAATTTCATATTATAATTGATCAAAATAAGAATATATTTCATATTTTCTATATGAATATATATTCTATATGAATACAGTATTGTATAATATTAACATATAATTATATAATCATATTATGTGTTTTTTATATATAATATTTTTTTTAATCTATATAAAAATTATTAAAAAAAATATTAGTATATGCACAATTAGATTTTTCCAATGGCAATATCTTTCTTCTTTTTTATTTCTTTATTTATTATTATTATTAGTTTATTTATTTTATTTAAAAAATTATTAAAAATTAATTTATATTTTTTTTATTTTTTTAATTTGATCTTATTAGTATGCTTTGAGGTATTTGGTTGTGCAAGAACTGCTATCTATCTTCTTATAATTCTTATAGGGTAAGCACTGGTTATTACACAATTGCTTCTTATCATTTCCATTTTCATTCATCTTCAATGATATTAGGCTCATCATTTAAAATATATAAATATTATATAAATAAAATTATATTTTCAAATAATATTTTATTTCATGTATAATATATGTATGATATTATTTTATATGCATATATCTATAAAAAAGATCTTTATGGATTTGTGTACGGCAAAATTTACTTTTTTTTTTGTTCATACACAAATATTCAACCAAGTACTTCGAACATATTATATGTATTGCAAAATTATATATAAATATTTAAACTATATTGCCCATAATAAATTCATTGATATCCATTAATTATACTAACAAAAAAACTTTTGTTAGTTAAGATTTTTGTTACTTAATGGGACATCCTGTATATATTTATGTTAGAATGAAATCATTATTAAGATCACAAAATGCAATTTCATCAGAATTTCAGTATTGATGTTTTAGCAGAATTTATTATATACATATATAATAATGCGATCTATAACTATGCATTTGACATGTATCCTATAATATATTTTTTATTTTTATTAATAAATATAATAAATATAATAAATATAAATCCGCAATATAACATAATAAACCCAACGTTTATAATTTGATTTTATTATTTTTTTTCAGATATTCAAATATGAGCTTTATTGTCGACCATCTTTTCCCAGCTTGGAGAGAGGATGCTGCGGATGAATTTAGTAATTTTGTATATTGGCGAGATCCAATACCAGAAGTACCATCATTGGAAGAACTATATACTCAAAGACAAATCATATAAGTAAAAATATTTTACTTAGAATTTTTATTCTAAGAAAAGAACAGATACATTTTATTTATAATTAGATAATTATAGTTTTTTCTTAATCACTTTTTATATTTCATATGTTATATAATCAAATGTAAAATTCTTGAATTTTAAATCGATGCAATTCTGAAATAGATTTATATAAGTGATTATAGGCTTAGTAGATATGTTTTATTTATTGATCAGTAGACTCTGAATAACGTTAAATGCATATAAAAGTAATTTATTATCAATACAAGTGATACATGAATCAATGTTAGAAGGAGAATAAGTATTTTACATTGAATTTAATTACATTCCAATTCTCAGAAATAGAATAATAGCAGGGCTATGTTGTTATCAATAACATTAAATTAGCTTTCAACGTAATTTATAGTAAAATTATTATATTAAAGGATATGATATATTTCAATAAGAATTATTGCACTATTATATGTTTCAAGAAGAGTTCAAATCGCTTATATGCTGTGCTTAAAATAATTTTTATAGATAGATCTTTCTAGATCTTAGATATATATTATGTTATTAATCGATAATTGAAAATGTATGATACTAATATAATATCGATTGTAATATGGTGATAAACATGCATATAAAATAATTTATGAGTTCATTCATACAAAAATCATATTACAAAGTTTCATTAATAAAAAAAAAGTAAATAGCGTAATACATATACATGATTTTTCTAATATATATTTCATCAAAAATTTCTTTTAGAATTATTTAATTGTAATCACCATAGTACATAAAAGTTTAATGTTTTGTAATATAATTTAGATATCTATTACTTTAGCTGATATTTTTCTCGAATTAATTTCGTTAAAGAAATCTTATTTATTTTTATATGAGATCTCTGTTGAATTAGAGTGCTGTGAAATTGCCATATTCTATAATGTAATCATTTGTGTATTGTGATATAATTCAACAAAATACTAAGGAGGTCAGGACGATAACAGTGTATAAAAGCAAATTCGTTATTTACATTAACAATGGAAAGTATGCCTAGTTTCCTATAGAAAATTATTATTATTTGAAACTATTTATAAGTTCCATTTTATTATGTAAATGTATTTTAGAATGGTCATTTTTTTCTTTTTCTTTTTTTTTTTTACAATGATATATTTTATGCCTATGTCTTTCAAACTATACCATCTAAAGATAATTAAGTATAATAATTATACTAAGTAGCATAGATTTTCTGTTGATAAAAATAGCACAATAATATATCATTCATTTTAATATCTAATTATGTTTTTTATAATATGCAAAAGTACAATTATGTTCTACCAAAGAAAACTGAAGAATAGAACCGAAAATATTTTGAGTTTCGTACTCATTAAAAATAAGTATACGTTAAAAGTAGGATGTAAGAATTTTTATTACTTGAAAAATGAATATTAGTGAAGAACATTGATATCCTGACACTAACAACATGACAATGCTAAATGCAAATTATTTGACGATGCAGTATTGTATTCCAATTATATAGCTTAATATTAAATATTTAATAAAATGGTATAACTTCAAAAAAAAAAGAGAGAGAAAAAAATAATAAGATATAAGAAAAAAGAAATGTAGAAAATGATATTATTTTTTTCTTTTTAATTTGCGAGTTTCTACTTTAAATTTATTATCAATCATTCTATAATAACAAAACAATCTATATATTTGTTATTGTTATTACGTTTATTATTATTCCTATTATATGATATTTGCAAGCAAATATTTAATTTTTGGTATTTTTTTATTGCTTTTCCTAAACTCGTTTATTTTTAGTACAAATAAATTTAAATTTTATTTTAAGTTTAAAATTTATCATAAATTTTAATTTAGTTTCTTTGCTTTATATAAATTCTTTTTATAATAAATATATTATTAATAATATTTTATAAATATTACATAACAATGCAAAAAAAATGAATTTTGTTTGAATGTGCTCAACATATAAATTATTAAATATTAAAGCATTCCTTAGCAATAATCTAATTGCAAAATTACATCTTGAATGCTTTTTTCTACAATTAATATAAACATTGCTTAATATTACATATGAATATTTATAAAATAAATACAGTTTTACATAAGAGCATGTTTCTATATAATCGATAAAATTTTATAGTATATTGCTATTCATTCATAAATATTAGATTCATAAATATAACTTTATTTTATGTAACATGATGTTTCAATATCTCTACATTTTTTTACATTTCACTATTTTTATTATATTTAATATGATACATTATAAAATAATAGTTTAATTCACTCATAATTAAACAGATAAAATTTAAATTTCGTATCATATGTTGTATGATGCGTTTCTTTCATAATTTTCTATTTCCCATATAATTCGTTTATTGTTTAATATATAATTATAAATGAAATACAAATGTAATAAAAATATATATCTTGTGGCTTTTAAAACAATAAATAAATAAATCACAAATTAATGAAAAAATGGTCTTATTAAAAAATTTAAATTTCAATGTTTACTTTGTTTAATTTATGATATCTCATGTTTAAGATGCAAATATATTAATAAAGCTATTTTAATGACAAAAAAATTTTTGTTATGTTATATATTCATATTATATTTCATTTATTGAAGTTCTGCTTGGCCATCGCGTTTTGGTCTGAAATTATAGTTATGAATGAAGTAAGTAAGAAAATGATGTTTTCAAATAAAGTATAAATATTAGCAAATAAAACTTTTTAAATTTATTTAAATTTATTAATGTGCACCTCATATGTTAATCTTTTTCTATTACATTTTACAGATTCATCATTATCAGATATATCCGAAGAATCGATGGACATCGTGCTACTTCTTTTATCAGAATTTACATCAAAAATTATTTTACGATTATTATCACAAGAATTTTCGCAGCACCAATAATAAATAATCTACGTAAATACAATTGCAAATAATTTTAAATCTATCTTGTATTATATAGGTTATATATAACAATTTTATGATTTACCCATAAAACTCCAATAATCCAGAATATAGAAAAATATAGAGGTAGCGTCATTATTTCGTTTTATTAAATAGATAATGATTGAAAAGGAGAAATTTCATAATTTTGATATTTTAAATATACATTAATGATGAATATTTTATCAGTTGTTTCTAAAAATGTAGATCTATAAGCACCTTCATATGTTTATTTTTCTAATAAAATTTACAATGTTCTAATTTTCTAATAAAATTAGAAGTTATAATTAATATGGAAGTTATAATTTATGTATATATATATATATATAAATTTATATGTATTTTTTTACATATCAATTTCTTCTGTTTCTTCCATAGCCATTTGTTCTTCTAAATTTTCTTTAGTATCGTCTTGAGATATAAATTGTTTATATCCATATTTTTTAGAAAATACACCTAATGGTATCAATTTAAATGTAGCTAAAGGCTTACCAAGTAATTTCTGTAAAAGAAAAAACTGTTATTTCATTGATTTTTAATATCTATCATAAGATATCACAATATATTTACCAAAATTCTTGCTTGTTCTGGAGTTAATGCTTGTCCTGTTTTACATACAGTATATTCTTTGATTAATGTTACAACACCTTTTTGTAAAGCTGTAGGCATTCCTAATTGTCTTAAATGAGGTTCTATACTATGTGAAAAATCTGGTATTGGACCTTCAGGTAATGTTATAGTTTCTTGTGTAATAAAACCAGATCTAGCATAATCTATTTCCTCATATTCCCTCATCCATTTCAATACCTTAATAAATATGAATAAATAAATATAACTTTTATATATATTTAATATTAATTAATAATTCTTTAATAAATAAATACATACTTCTTTTTTACTTCTATTTGTAAATAATAGGCCACACTGTCCTCTTAAAGCTAATGATAATTTATGAAGATTTTCTGCAAGTTCATTTTCCGATGACTTTCCTAGAGCCAATGCTATCACTTTGTTTTTACCAAAAAAAAATCGGCTGTCTTTCCATTCTGAACGTAAATCTTTAAGTTTATTATTACGCATATTGTGTACGGATAAAAGAAATATCCTGGCATATTTTTCAACACAATTTCTAACATCTTCCACAATTTGTTGCTTCAAGGCAAGTCCCTTTTTACTTGTTTTTGTAAGAGATACTGTGAAATACAAATTTATTATTTGATGACACGTGAAACATTTTTAGGTTAACTTATAAAAATTAAAGACATAAAATGAAACAATAAATAAATAAACTGTTAGTGAAAATAATAATATTACTTTTCTTATCCCTTTTCGATTTAGGCATTCTTTAGCAAGAAAATTTTAAAAATTATACTTTTAATAAATCGAAAAAGCACATTAATAATCACACAACATGTGTTATGCAAATAGCGCATAAATATATATAATACAAATGTGTAATATTCTTGATATATAAACTTCAAACTTTATTTTAAGTAAAACACTGTAGAATGTTTAGATTAATTTTAAAACAATGATTGCAAACAATCAATTGAAAATATAATTGAAATATGGAATGAATTGTTTCTGATTTGTCAGCATTGTGTTAATATAAGTATATATATACATATAATTTAATCGATAAATTTAATACATTTGTATATAATTATACTATAACTATATTTTAAATGATATAAAAGATATATTAAAAAATAAAAAAAAAATTGATTTGATGAAAATAATATAAATGAATAAATTATTTATCTATAGATTTCAGAAATGGCGGGAACGATAAACGAGTATTCTTCGAATGAACGGAAAGCGTCAAGTGAACGCAGTTCAAGATGGCGGCTTCCGCTCGTTGCGCCAGTGCACTCTGTGAGATCGTAGTGGACGGGAGCTGTCGAATACGCCGAAGCCTCGATTTTCTAGGCCGTTTGTAACACTCTAAAGGTGAGTCTTTTTTCAAACGTACTTATATACGAGTGTGAAAAACAGATGGAAGTTATAGCAATATCTTTTAAAATATCGGTCGCAAATAATATGAAATGTAATTGATCATGAGTCGTGTGAACCCCGTAGCCATGCAGTCCCCTTCTCTTTTTGCCAAGTTGCTCGAAATAACCTATAAATTACTCATTTTGTTACATTTTTATAATTGAAATTATTCGTTTTGGCATTTCTACATAATTCACATATTATATCAATCATTTATTAAACGAATTATCATTTTAGTAAAGTTCTTTAAACTGCGGTGCGATAAAAGGTAGTCTGAAGATAGTCACTTGCCGCTCATAGCGGATACGACGCACGCGACGCGACAGCCCTAAACGAACAAGATAATTGCCGCCATCTTAGTTATATAGTCGGTGATGAAATTACATTTTATATCTATAAAATGTTAGAAAATTATCGGTTTCATACATAATTTTATTTTATATTCGCATGATATATAAGTTAACATATTGGCAACTGTTTTCATTGAATGTAGAAATTTCTTGAAATGACAATTAATTGTGTAAGTGTTGGCTCATTGTTAATAATGATTTTTTTTGCAATATTTAATCTCTTATATAGTTCGAAAAAATCAAAAATACATTGTTTAGTAAATTTTGCTTGTTCTTTTGCACATGATTACGCTTGAAGTCGTATTAAAAGTAACATGCGCTTTCCATTAGAAGATATTACTGAAGATATATAAATGCTGTATCAAGTACACGCCCTTTGACAGATGAGTGATTATCTTCTTTTCGATAATCTTTCAATATATCTTGGATAATAAATATTGAAATTCCTATATGTAGGTTTCCATTGATAATAACATAAAATTTTAGTTTTCATGCATTAGAATGAATTATTCTCTTTTATGTGGCGTATTATTATCGACCGGTATAACATGTATGTAGACGTCCATTTCTTTGAAATAATATGTAATTGAATTTTATTCAATCTCAATGAAAAATTAAATATGATAGTAATATATGCTATTGATCATATTTTCTACGTGCTTTTTTTAAATATATCGTAGGTTATTTTTTTATTTCACTAAGTAAAAAAGGTAAAAACAATCATAATGTTACTATTATATAGTTTTCATATTCATTTATTGAATATACATAATCATTTGAGTAGAATATATAACATTTAAATTAATTGGTAATTTTAGTAAAAATTAGCTGTTTGTTCATAGTGAGGAATTGTGAATTCTGTTTCTTAATCTTTCTTGATTGTTAAACAATATGAATTAAGATGGAATTTATTTTTTAATCAACATTGACAATAATAATAATGCGCGTATCATAATGTTCTTTTTCAACTTTTCATTGCATGTTCACTCGATATCATATGATATGTTCTATAAGCTTTTCTTTAATATGTATTCATTTAAGGAATGAAGTTACTTTATTTATTATATATGCTATATTTATTATATTTGTACTTATTCGTGTTATTTAAATTTATCAATTACATTATTTTATTATTTACGTTAATTGAAAAGAATGATCCTTTGAAGTTAAATATCATTTTTGTTCTATGACAAGGAAAAATCTAAAAAAATCTGAAATTAAAAGAAGTTATTCATATTGAAATGTTTTTTATTTTATTTCGGAAC